AAAAAAAGCAACCAATAATATCGAACAACAGGTTACAAAACACAACATAGAAAACTGAAAACTAAGCAACACGAACCCCTCCAAAAACCCGTAGGTAATCTCAGGTGCTCCGATTGAGTAAACTGATGCTGTTCCACATGCAAAATGACATGTGACTCCTGTCCTCGTATTACTGTCCTGATCTACGTATGGCACCCGTCTACTTACTTCTGTAAGTACACGCCGTTGATATATATCATATACTTATAATACATGTATATACATTCTATACCTACGTTCATTCAATGCTGAAATAACTAACATACCATAAGATGAAAATAATGACGCTTTATACAGCACCCCCAATATAATGGATAGATTAATCCTACCGTCGACAGGTCATTTACTCTCTATACCGCTATCCTTAGTTCTGGTGACTAAATTGGAAAAGCTGAAACTAAATACCTAGTTAGAAATCATCAACTGTTGTGCTTAAATGTGCTCTGTGTATGAAGGTGGGGTATGAGTTCAACATAAGGAACATCTGGCAAATTTCTAGGTACTCCTGTATTTGAGTAGTCTGTAAAAGTTGAACTATTTCTACAGTCGATTTATTGTATCATTATATTTTGTAAACTGCGAAATTTTATTATAGTTTTGTGATTTGTTGGCAAAGAAAGTGTATGATAACCAATTTACATATATTTAGAGTTCGAAACTTATAATGTCCTAGTTTAATTCCAACTCACTGTTTTTTTTTATAAAAAGATACAATATTCCAAATTCCTCAATATGCAAATTACAACAGTGGTTTACCGATATTCAAATCATCTAATACAGATAATCAAAGATACGGGTATTCATCCATGATATTAATCAGAACATACACAGCAAAAAAAAAAAGTATCCACAATTTCACGTGATTGAAGGTATTGTAAATGTCAATATTTCTTTTTATAAAACGACCCCAAATTTAAAATCAAACAAACATTCCACAATCAAAGACACTATTTCTTATCCAACAGACACCATTATGCGCCTTGCATCATAAACCATACAAAACTAAATTTACACCAGTTACCATTTTATCATACATAATTTAGTAATCATTTGGTGTTCGTTGCAATGAAGGCGGAATTATTTAAATAATTTTGACAAAGTTGTATAATATCTTACGCAACGCATTTATACACAAGTAAATGACATTAGAAACTCATCAGTTACGCTCGAATAAAAAAAGTTAACAAAGCCTAAAAAGTACGAAGGTGAAGAACATTAAGGAGCAACATTTCCGAAATGTTTTGATAAATACAGCTGAGGTCATCAATTTCTACATGTTCTAATGATAGCTATAACGCAATCTCTAGAAAAGTAGAAATGCAAACCTTACTCATTAGACTTTGACTAATATATAGAAGTTGAACTGTTCCGTGATAGTTGAGATATCAATCAATTCTACGCAGCGGATATTTTTGTTGTGTGTCAAATTTTGTAGAAACAATATCTGGTTTTTTACATGTTTCATGGATATATAAAAAAGCGTTATCATCAGGATATAAAACTAATTTACCGTCTTCATCAATACTGATTGACATATCATTTGTCGAACGCTTTTTGTAGAAGTAACATAATCTTTACTGTATAAGTACCATTTGAATTATTTTTTCTTATATAATCTAATAGATGTATAAGACATGCCTGTAATGTATTAATAGAGTATTTTCCTCTGAAACATGATTGAAATTCACATAAGAATGTGTTCTTTCTTAAAAACACTGATAATTGGTTAAAAACATTCCTTTTAAGAACTTTCGATACAGTGCCAAATATACTGACAGTTCTTCAATTACCAACATCAAGAGCACTATTCTATTTGAAAAAAGGTTTTGATCTTGCATATTTCATACTATTTGGAACAATGCAAAATGTCAAAATTGATTAATTAATAATTGCTGTAATTTGCTTTTGTAATATACCAGCAGAATCCTTGATATATTTTTCAGGTATTTCATTTAAATCTGTGCTCTTTGTAATATTGATTCCTTATTCACAAACTCTTCAGTTACATGTGTCAATAACAATTTCATATCATTAAGATTTCTGCTTCTATGAAAAAAAATAAAAATTAGATGATACAACGCTAAATATGCCTTTGGCATTTGGTTATTTTTTTTACCAATTCTGCTGCTACAGTTGTACTAAAAGTATTAAAATGGTCAACAATGGTCTATGAATCATGACAAGATTCATTATTGATGTTTAAGTACAATACTAGTTTCGTGAACTTTTCTGTATATCCAAGATCTTTCAAATTACTAAAAATGTGCTTTGGATCATCTTTACTTTCTTCAATTTATCACATAAAATAACCTTTTTAGTTTTTCAATGAATTGAATTTCTTAGTTAACAAAAATATTTGTAATCACTTCTAACTTTATTTTTATTATAAAAGACTATCTCTGTCATAAATTAATTTTAAAATCTCTTATGTCATCTAGAGCTAGGTTCTTTGTTTTACTCTTACTTAAAAGGAGCCACTTTGTTTAGCTAATTTTTAAATAATTTTCTAAAACAATTCCAACTTTCATCTACTAAACTAGATGTTTGACACTCATTTCAATTAACATTTTTAAGTTCTTCAATATGTACTTGAGGGTCATAATTTTTCATAGAACTTATCTTAACTTTTTGTATTTCCCAATTTTCTTTACACATTTTTCTGCTACAGTAAATAATATTGTGATCACTTATTATAGACAAAAAAGTTCCAAATTTAACAATATTTTCAGATCTGCTACATTAAATATGATCCATTTCAGAAGAACCATTGTTGACTATTCGTGTAAGCTCAGTGATTAATTGTTCAAAATCAAACAATTTAAGTACATTTTAAAAAGATTTAGATAATGATGTATTTTTATCTAATACACATATATTTAAATCTCCCAGAATAATTGTCTCTTAATTCTTTTTTGCAAATTGCTCATTGTTTCTTAAAAACAGAATTTGCTTGGTTCGGTAGGCGATCAACTATGTCGACAATAATTGGTTTCGTCTTGGGAAACAGACATTCAATACAAATTTTCTCTTTGTCTTTATTATCAATGTCGTTCCCTATAATGAATGCAAATCGATTGTTAATGAAAAGGCACACTCCTCAGACCTCCTGTTCTTATTCGGCCTTTCATGAGGACGGAATATCCATCAGTTTATATTTCGCCGTCTGAAACAGATGAATCTAGCTATGTCTCCGCGACGAATGTGACTGCTGTGTTTATTTTCGTAGCCACTATTTTAAGTTCTGATATTTAAGGTTGAAACGACATTGCGTTTAGGTGAATACATTGCAGAGTTTTAGAAAATTTAAATCTTATGTCCCCGACTTCCGATGCATAGTCGTAATCATTATTACTTTCATCATGACTTGTGTTGTTTGCTGGGCTTTCAATAAGAATACCTATGATTACTACGTAATGTAAAGCAATTCGATGTTGAATAACTTTCTATTGTCTCAATAATTGTTATCCCTCTGACCAGGAAGTCTGAGCTATTTCAATTTTGTAAATTAAGCATATTCAACAAAGCATTAATTTGTGTACAATATGTAGAACGATATTTAATTCTCCTATCATGGATTCTTTATCGCCTACAGACCGATGACTTAAATCCTTTTAACGTTATATTCATATGCAGCAGATTTCTTGGTCAAATATACGGAAGGCTTCTCGTCATTATAATATGATTAAGCAAACGATATGCCCTTAAACGGATTTGTGTATAGGAAGTTAACATCCTTATTTGGTCATGTATATTTGCAGTCTTTTCAGTGGTCGAAATATGTGAATGACATACATGAGAGAGCAATAAGATAGTGAAAACGAATAATTATAAATTATTAAAAAATTGAGATGTCTTCTGCTTCAGGTACAATTAAATCTTATATATATATATAAATAAAGAAAAGTAAAATAACAAAACTAACAAACCCCAAAGGAAATGTAAAATAGAATGTCCCTTAAAAGAGGGGCGGAGATACCAGAAGGGAACTTCAAACTCATATGTGACGACGTCTGACAAAAGGGGCCTAGATGCGGTAAAATGTAATTTTGGCTATGACGTTGCAAAGTTAACGATGTCGAGTACCTTCAAAAAAAATTTTCGTTGCCTAAACAAGATAATTTCACTATATAGCACATGTACAGCTTACCAATATTCATTTTAGTCCAAAAAATCGACCAAGATCTGTAACAAAAAAAAAAAGTGAGAGACAAACCTTGCTGCATTACAATTGGACTCTGCTTGTATTTCATTGATAAAGTGACCACTACTATCAAATATGCAAGTAAAATTATATGATTGTTTTGTATAAGAATCAGTTGATAATTACATTCATTCACCGAATATGCTTCTAAATTTACAAACGCGAAAAATAACTTGATTTGTTTTAAAATGCTATTCCTTTGTACTTGTAGGTTTCAATTGTTTAAATTATATGTTACATAGAATAATTGCCAAATAAAAGGAACAGAAACCAAAGCGAAGTTCAAAACGCATAAGTCGAACAGAAATTTTCCATGTTATTTAATAGATTCGTATGTCTGTATCACAAGCTTTCCCATTCGTAAACTTAATTAATATGATTCATTATCAAATGATAAATAAATGGAAGGTTCTTGCATTAAAGGTTCAAAATGGTAAAGCAGATGTCTATCAGTTGGAAAGCTTAACAATTTGATCAAATTTTTTGGACTACCTGTAAAGGGCTATGAAGAATAATTATAACCCCATTTCTTGGGTTTTTCTTCTTCAAAAAAGACAACACCGAATACCATGAACTGATCAGGTAACTCTTCTGGAACATTTAGTTAGTATTTCCTGTCTTTACGTCGTCTGATATCATGTTTATTGTGGTCTTTTTAATTTTTGTTTTAGCTTATGAATTGTCGTTGCCCCGCTTAGCATTTTCTATCTTTGTTAATCATGATTGATTTCATTACTGGTATAATAAATAAAAAGACACCTTTATTTGTTTATTTGTTCATTTATTAAAATTTCAAAGCATGAAAAAAATGCTTGTCATACATATCTGTATTTGTGTTTATCGCGTCAACACAAACATGCTAGTATTTGAAAATTTTGTCGACCTCATACTTCTTTTAAAACTTCAACGAACAACAGCAGTATGGATATGCATTATTCATGTTAATTAATAAATACGTATGTTATGTGCAGTTAATAAAGACAATTTAGTAAGGAATGTTGCACTTATAAAAAATAGAGATTCGTGGTATGACTTGCAACGACCACATACAATGTAACACATGAAAAACACTAAGAAATGGAAAGAAAACAAAAACAAAACAAAACAAAATAAACAATATGGGATTGTTAAAAAAATCAGTACAATGATAAAGCATGTGTGTTTACCTGATGAAAAGGTTTAATTAATAGGAATAGATAACAAGGTTGTTGGTTTAAAATGAGTACTACTGATTAAACCTCTGTCGTTACATTTTACTTTATAATTGCACAATAATACGAGTATGTCAGTACTTCTTTTGATAATAATATTCAAATTCTTGTCAAGCGAGCAATCACTAGTTTGCAGGAACTCATCAATATGTGTAAATAGTATCCTGAAAGGAAAACAAATCATATGATTCAGTTTTAAATGTATAAGGGACTACATATTAGCTACTATCAGTAATACTGTATGTACCAGTTTTTTAAAGAAACTTTTTCTGTTGGTTTGATTGCTTTTTTCTTTGATTATGTGCTGTAATTTCTACTGCTTTTAGTGACTACTGTGACAGTAAATTGAATCATATGCATTTAAATAAAACAATTGATCTACTTTAGCATTTACATGTTTAATGATAATTCAGTATGTGGCCTTTTTCATTTTGAATGTTGATTTGACTAAAAGCCTTTTCCGGTGTTGTTTGTTCATTGCAATTCAAGATCTTCTGAAATTTTGGAGTAAATTGCAAGACAAGTCTGTTCAATTATAAGTCTTATTCAATTGACGAGTTACTTTTGGTAACGAGTTTTATTTGGAAATTTTGAAAACATCAACCTTACAAACTAATTGTTGTGGGTATCATAAGCTGAGATGAACCACGAATTTCAATATTGAACGTAACACACACATTACATAGACTTGTATGGAAATTTAGACAATGCCATGAAATAATGTATCAACGAAAATACATAGTTTTCTCAATCTGCTAAAATGTGTGCCCTCGAAAATATAAAGAACCACTGTATTAACATTTAAAACTACAAATAATTTTTCACCAATTGTAATAGTTTAAAAAACTTACCAGAATGTTAATGTATGTAGTCCTTTACTGCGATACAGTATGCATCGGCTGTTGGACATTTGCACATGAGTAGGAAGGTGGCAAGTTATGCGAAGATTGTTGAGCATAAGACAGATTTGTAGAAGCTATAACGACACTCTTCCCATCCGATCCTACAATAAATTTGCATTTTTGTATTCAAATGCAGCTTTTTGGGATTTAACAGAAACATTTGATATGTGACATGTGTAACCGAGATGTATATTGACAGTCAAATCGCAATCGTGTATTGATATTGCCGGATTGAATACACTAAACCTGAACATTTACAGTCTAAGAATCATCTGATAAAGGCTTTATAGTATTTGATTAAAGAAATGATATCGATTCTTTATGAGAATTGGCTAAAAGCTAATTTAAGTAAACAACTTAGGTCAATTGTTAGCGAGACAAATGTAACGTATCACTTTATATATATAGTATCAGTTTGTTGTGTCCATATAACTGATGTCAAAAATTATTAACTATCCAATTATTTTATCGGTGTTTGCAGCGAGTTTCATTAGATGACAGTTTGTGTTATCAACACCATTGCTGAAAAATTTACACTTAACTCAAACATATATCGGTTACATAGATGCAAGGTGAAGCCCGCTTCCGGATGCAGGATTTTTCTCGCTGTGTTGAGGACCCATCAATGGCGTTGTGCTGTTTTCTGCTCTTTGGTCAGGTTGCAACCTCTTTGACACATTCCCCATTTCCATTCTCAATTTTACATATATGATAACCACGCTTTAATAATTGAAATTAAGCATTTAATACTACATAGACCTGTATGTCTATTGCTTGTAAAAGCAATTTTTGTTGTATTGATGTCAAAGTTTTTGGAAATCTGAGAACAAATGAGATTCCGATTATCCAATACAAGTGACCATGAAGTAAGGAGCTCATGTGTGGAAAGCAGATCATGTTCCATTGTCGGGATCTGTCGTATTGCCAATAGCAAATTATTGTCAGTTTGCACATATTCGTAGTTATCAGTGAAACGGATAGTGCATAACAGTTTTCATAACTTCTGTATAATTTCTTCAAACACTTAGGTCATGATATCATAACTCTGAGTAATAAATCGAAATCATGACAGAGCAAATCAAAAGAATGAAAAGTGTATCATATATATTCTTTGATGTAAACAAGTAAATCAAAACAACTATTACTAATTGATTTAGCTTACCGCTAATGAACACAATTGGATTTCCAGTCGGTTGTTGTAAATTGTGACCAACGCCGTTGTTAGTTCTTGTGTTATTATTAGGTAAAGTCAGACGCAAACGTCTTTTCAATACATACAGTATTACAAATATAACAATAACAACTGCTCCTGCTCCTAGTGCAATTGCTGCTCCAGTTGATAATGTTCTAAAATAAATTGCAATGTTGGCGTCAACAACAGTATTTAAGGTTAAAACATATTTAAAAGATGTCAATATATACAGAGTAGATTTAAATGTTAAAAGGTACACATAATAACAACACAAATTTAATTTCAAATCGAAAATATAGCCCTGGTTTGCCAAAATTAAAAACAACTTATAAAAAGATGTTTACATTAGACGAAAATCATTTGCATGATATGTCATATTACAGTCATAATTATTTGCAGTGTCAACGTTAATGCGCTTAACACCATCATGTTCTGTAGATGCCCCTATACTTGCTTTAAGGATCATGCAGACAAGATGTTGTTCTTTGCTGCTTGTCTTTAATTGTTAATCTGGTTTCTTTTTGTTGTTAGTTTGGTCTATTGGACTATTCCCAAAAAAAATTGTTGTTTTGCATTATCCTTATGAAGTTTGTTTTACAAAAAATGATGAAGTTTTTTCAGAGGATGGACATGCCTGTTTAATAGTTATCAAAGGTACCAGGCTTATAATTTGATACGCTAGACGCGCGTTTCGATTACAGAAGACTCATCAGTGAAGATCAGATCAAAATAGTCGGACATCTACAATGGAACCAAATATCATTAAGTTTTATTTTATTTTCATATTCTAAACCAGTAAAACAATCAAATAATATGAAATTATAATACATCGTTTATTTCACAATGCGATCGAATATGGTATATAACTCACCCACTGGCTTTATTCTTTTCTGAAATCGACCTGTTGTAGGCACGTGTCGTAGTGGTTCTAAAATAGGGAAAAAATATTATCAATTATCATTTTGCAAGCACGAATACATTTTTGGTTTCCTTTTGTTGTTTTTTTTTGTACGATAGCAGTACGTGTATTAGACAGTCACTGGAATAATTCAACATCAAAATGAAAAATAAAAAAAAACGACGCGGGAAAAAGTATGCCTGTTTTCTTAAATGTCAAAAAATTACTACAAAGGTTATAACCTTTCAAACCCACATTAGCTAAAAATTTGAATTCAAATTTAATAATAAGAATATTATCGATGAAAATACGAAAACTAAATCATTAAATTAGCATAAACAACGAAAACAAAATAAATGTGCAGGAGATTGAATGAACGTTCATTTAACCTTTTGTCCCTTTAAATTTAGTTTTGTGTACATGTACATGCAAAGGAAAATGGAAATAACTAAACCAACTTCGATAGAGGACTTTATTATTATATGTATAAAATCAATCAGGAATCTCACTTTATGAAATTCGAACATAACATGATATATAAGATATAACCAACTTATCGGTTAATTCAAAAAGTGGGATGTAGAAACAACATGACAAAATCAAACGGTATACTATATCAACCAACGTTTAAAACGATAATCAACTGTAATATCACTAAGTAAAGGTTTTTACTATACAGGAGCAATTAACTACATACAACAACATTTATTACAATGTTCTGTAGATAAGGTAGGAAAATGTGATACAAATAAGTAAAGATTAAAAAGAAGATGCAGTATGAGACCAAATGACACAGAAATTACAACAATAGGTTACTTTTTTCGGCTTCAGGTGTTGATACTCCTAGATATTGTCAACAATCGAACTGGTGTAATTGCAAGTAAATATTACTCACGATTATAATGATTATGACAGACCACGAATAGAATCATGTGATAGGTCAGTAAAGGATTGAGAGGTGAAAACGATTTTGCATTAGGAATATTATCTTTACTCGTGAAATTTGTACACATTAACCGAGTAGAACATATGATATGTGTGGCGTCCCCTAAGATTACTTTCAGGATGAAATCGGTTGATACACTAGTTACACAATGCAAACATACCGACAAAAGTACGAACAAAGTAATTCACGTTTTTTTTATATATAAACAGTCACTTTAAGCCTTGTATGCATGATTATTTTATAAGTTGGTATTGGCATCAAACTAAATGTAGCTGACAGTTACTGCTAGTACTTTCAGATCTGTACTAACTGTCTCTTTTGTGATGGGATATTCTCAAGTACCCTTCCGAGTCTAGTCTAAGTTTTTTTTGTTAAATATATTTTTGCTAAGTATCGATCAGATAAGTAAAGCCTTTTCCGACTGATTTGTATTGTTTGTTATTATGTTGTGTAATTACACCCCTGTCCTGGGTTACGGGAGGGTCGGCGCATACAAACTAGTTTAACCGCCGTCACATAAAACAAATTTTACATGTTTTACATTGTACTGTTCGAAAGACTAGTTTCGAGTCAAGTGTGAATATATTCATAGTTATATTTAAGTGCATTTTTTTTATTTTATTTAATTTGCATACCTGGAAGAAGTCTCGCATTGATGATATCTGGTGCTTACTACACAGCGCCAAGTACCATTTAATTTACAACACTCATCACAGAATATCGTAACTGAACCATTGCACAAACCCTCACAGTGGTAAGAAAAAATACCATCTCTTTTACAAACTTCACCTAAAGAAAAATAAAACAAAAATAAAAATTTATGAGATTGACTGTCAATTTTTTAAATTACTTGTAGCGTGACGATTCACCAAATGAATACTCATGCAATAAACTTAAAGTAAAACAATAGCAATACTGACACTTAAAAAATATGATTGATTAATTTGTGTTTGCTTTACGCGAAATCAGTGCAAAAAGAATATATATTGCAGCGAGAGTTACTTAGAATATCTAAACAAGATGCAGTTTTTAAAAATAAGACGAAAAATATGTCATGATACTAAAACATACACAAAAACCTGACGTTTATGTTATTGATTTTATTAAACTTTTCGCTTCGTTTTGTAAACTTTGTATTAAAACACTTTAATATATATTTTTTTATTTTTTTCTAAACCCTAGTTATAGACAAAAATTATTTCTGAAGAACATTTTGATTCCTTAAGTTATTAAAATATACCTACATTTCAATCCATAACATAAGGCACAAATTAAGAAACATCCACAGATTAATTTGTATTGCTTCATTGTGTAAGTGTTTTATAATAATGATCTTCGTGTTAATCTACAGTGGTTCGAAACGTGACAAATATTGAAATTGGATATCAAAATTGACGTGTTCATTGACTTCGTGTAAAAAGTACTCAACCACTGCGTCGAATAATTTACGTTTTACTTTTTTTTTAAATAAATTTTAGCATAATGGTATTTGCACACAAAATATATATTAGGCTTATAGTGGTGGTATTCGTATCTCAACTTTAACATATAAAATATATAATCAAAGAACTGTTTAATGTAAATAAAAGCTTTTTTTGGTAAATAAAAGTGTTGTCGAAGCTGGTAAATGATCCGTATTTCTTTTTTTTTCTTTTTTTTTCATTTTTTTCCTTGGTTTTTATCCATTTGAGTCGTATTTATAATAGCCTTAATTGTCCTCTATGGTTTGCAAATTATGCAATTAAAACACTTTTCGGGCTCTTCATAGCTTGCTGTTAGTTGTGAGCCAAGACTTGGTGTTAAAGTCCGTACTTTCACCTATAATGGATTTGGTTTACTTTAATAAATTGTGACTTGGATTAATAGTTGTCTCATTGGCAGTCATACCTCATCTTTTTAAATCTATTGTTATAAGAATAATCGTATATGATCATAAGAAGCATTTTAACAAGGCAACAACTAATCATCTTTTTTAAATTGTAGATAAAAACCTAAATCAACATTATAAACGTGCATTTATATAAACACAAGGTGAATTATGTGTCCTTTCTAAATTTGTTCCAATCCTTTGGATGAAGGTTAATCTCATAAAACATCTCATGGATAGGTATTGTATTGACGTATTCGGTGTGTAGTTACCCTCTTATAAGTAAAAAGTATTAATAGAGCTCGGTTTTCCAACAGGTGCTTTCTACTTCCTTATGAAGTCCTTTTGTCACCTCATAAACCACTAACATATTCTTTTCACTATCGACCTACCCTTCATACAAATACATGAAACGCAAAATCAAAAACTACGTCATCATCAGTAATACTGTTTTCATATCACATTACTTCAACTGCGCATATTGTGTGCAACCAGGAAGTGTGAGGATTTTCAACATGTAATTATTGTTTTTTATTCAGGAAGTGACCGTGAAGTAAATGATGAATGATCTAGAAGAATATCATGAAAACAAAAAGTACAAGATTCGGAACTTTAATTTGTGTTTTAACGTTCATTTTTCCCCTACCAAAACACAAAATAAAGTACTTAAAAATACCACTTACCATTATACCCACACTTTGATTTCCCAAACAAGTTCAATTGTAAAAGTTGTAATGTAAGAATTTAAGTGAAATGAGAATAAGAATAGGTATAATACTCAAACGTAATTTCACGACGCGAACGAATGTGTTTTCTTTAAAGGATAAATGTCATCATTGACTTACGTGTTATGGAAAAAAACTACAAGTTCATGCAATAAAGAATAAGAGAAAATAGTCAACTCAGCAAATCAATTATCATTTGTACGAAATACAGAACATGATGTAAACAAAGCAAAACAAACATACACAAACTAATGCAAATGAATCACAGGATTATTAATGTGGCGGGATGAACATGTGTATGCGCGGTCATTCCTACACAGTCATAACCGTTAACAGAGGTATAACACCAAACGTAAGTACACACTGTGATAATAAGTTAGAAAGGACAAGATTGACAAGTGTAGTTTAAAACTATAGAAAAGACAAAAGACATACGCTGTCTATCTAATATTAGACGTAGTAGTTAACAGATAATTGTAGCAGTTACTACGAACAAATCCTGTTTCCCAAGACTAAAATATTAATCAGTTAGAAAGTTTGGTTTTAATCGAATTCATGTTGCTCAGTCTTTTGTTTTTTACTCATGAGTATAAATATCACTTTGGTATCTTTCGCCTTTATTTTGTGCCTAGACGAGTGTTGAAACGTCAACTTAATTACTAGAAAAGATTTAGTTAATACGTTTCTTGCTTATGTATACTGCTGTTATTACAACACAATTATTTTAAAAACTTTTTTTTTATAAGTTTTGTACACCTGTCCTCAGGCCTGAACCTGCTGTTCCGTGGTTGTCTTTTGTTTGTGTGGTTCATATATGTATCTCATTTCTAGATTTTTATATAGGCTAGACTCTTGAATGGAGAGTTGTCTTATTTGCAATCATACCACATCCTAATTGTGTTATCTTGTTGCTGGTTACCGGATGGGGTATGGTTTTTCAATATCCCCAATGTGATAAAAAAAAAATAATCTAGTCAATCAGATGAAAAAAAAAAATGCTGAATGCAAATATCGCCATACCTTATAGTGTTAAATTTTAAAAAAAAATATTCCAATTGATTGGGGTTGAAAAACTAAGTACAGAGAGCATGGCATTTTCTCTACATGAGGCATCGAAGTAAACGTCCAAATTTTAATCATCGTGGCTGCGTGTGTTTTCATCCCGTACAACGGGGGAAGGGGGGTCTCAGGTGATACGGAAGGGTAAGCCCTGCATCACATGTGGCAACCGCTGTGTTGTTGAAGTTAGTACAAACCCGGTGATAAGTATAATTCGGTAGATATTTTTCGGATATAAGGTGACGGATTTTTAGTTACGACAGTTAGAAGATCTGTGAAACTGATATTCAATAACGGTCAATCGACTTGTGATGGCGTACGAAAAATTTACGAAGGGACTTTTTCAGCTTCCCCTCTTGGAATTCTTGGTTTGATATCTATCTTGTGAGCAGCAATCCTATTTCAAGGAAATCGTGATGGGAATACAACACTTGGATTGTATCAGCTGAGAGATATATACTCCGTATGAAGCTGCTGCTTTAATGTTGTATACAAAGAAATGGAAAATTCACAATTGGAATATCATTGTATATTGTAAACTAATTTCTCTTTTCACGAGTTCAAAACGGATAAAAGACAGAACATTCTATTTTCGACAAGTTTTTAATCGTAACAAATTGCTTCCAATTAACTTTCCTTTTGGGTTTAAAAGCTGAAGAATAACGGAAGTTAACAATATACACCATAAAGTAAGTGCGTGTATATATAATGAGTAACTTTGTAGAGGGGTCTCAGTACAGCATAAACAACATTTTCCAAAAGACCAAAAGAGTGAAAAAATATATTTTAACAAAACGCATTTGACTAACAGGTCGAACAACTGATGTTCTTAAACCCTGCTGACTGCCATTGACGATTGCAAAATAAATTGATCACAAGGTGTAACAAAATGGATCTCTATATTAATTTAATACCAAGTAGAAAACAATAAACTTGCGGCAAAGATGGTAAACCACAACATGAGGTGCTAAATGTTTTACACCATATCCGGATTTCGACAATTATTGTCTCTTCAGTGATGTTAGGGATCGAAAAGTATTTGGAAGGCCATTTAATATACCTCAATTTAGGATAGACTCTTGAATTTTAAAAAGTCAAAATAGGATGAACGGATTATAACTAAATAGAGCACAAACAACATTTTCCAAAAGACCAAAAGAGTGAAAAAATATATAATATAGATGATAAAGCAATGTTATTTGTTTTTTTATGCGTTCCTATTCGACGATTAAACTATGTCATACCTGCTTTGGTGAATTACATTATATCATTATTGATCGGCAATCACTCATTTCGTTTCATTTACGTTTACAATTTGTTCCTTAATGTATTTTTCCTTGCGGCATTTCTACATGAAATGTCATCTTAAGGATAAATCAGATGTGCATAATAAATTACTCGAACAGAACTTTCAAATTGAATTCACTGTGTCACTATTTAATTGCACAAAACTGTAACAACGACTGCTAGTTAATTTGTTATTTTGTTTTATAAAACTAATGGCCAACAAACATCTTGTTTTAGAATAGCACCAATAACACATTGTAACAGATTTAAACATGTAATTATTATTTGCCATTTGAATAACGTTTTGAATTTTCCTCGAAGTTCAGTATTTTTGTTATTTTACTATTTACTAAATATAATATTTTATGAAACTAATGTCAGCCAGGCGGTTTATTTTTAACTAATTTTTTATTAGTTACATCATTTTTTTGAGTACGCTCTATCGTCGGATTTCTAGTGTTGTTTTCCTCTGTGCTACCATCAGGTAGAATTTGTATAGATGTTTCTATAGAAGAATGAACTAGCGTTACCTTTATTTATACATGATGTACCCCGGCTGAATAAGTATTTTACAGAAAACACTTTATATAAAATAATGTTAAATATTTAAGAAAAAATAAGGCATCAAATAAAGTTAATGTCAATACTCAATGATTTTTAAAATATGCTTTTGTGATTCCTGATCTCTTTAAAATACATAAATCTATCGATTATTGACCATATGTTTCCCCAAAAATAGATGGCACATTATAGTATCACTTCCTTTATTATTAACTTCATCTGTATGTCCTGGCAATTGAAATAGGTTTGTCATTTTCCCTGATTATTATTTCAAGACAATTGTTGATGTTAACAATAAAGGAATCAAGTACCTAGGCTTACCCATGGTCATGGTCAAGAAATGATTATAAAATGGATGTATTTTCTGTAGTCATCATATTTCTGTTCCTACGATTTACCGTTTTTTAGAAGGAATGTGGGAATTCGTCAACATGTATCTCCATCTCTTGTACATGTACTTCATTTTAAGCTTTACATCAGCCAGAATTTAGGATGTCCACACCTATGTTTCAAAATAGCAAGCGTTGTAAAGGATTGTTCCAAACTTATGGTATATAAATAACGGTAACGAAAATAAATGAATCCACAGTATGGCAAATCAAATGTCAAGTCTATTAACTGTTGCGATTACCGTCTAAGCAATATCTGTACAACCTAATACGGTTCTGTTATTCAATCTAACCGTTGCAAAATTGATCTAGCAATAAGGTTTTAACATTTAGCTTAGATGTTTATCCGTATACTGTTGGTATTTTTTCGTTTTTGTCATGGCGTTGACAGTTTATTTCCATATGAGTTTGAAATAAATTCGAGAATGGAAATGGGGAATATGTAAAAGAGACAACAACCCCACCAAAGAACAGACAACAACCGAAGGCCACCAATGGGTCTTCAACGC